ATTTGTGGGCTTCATCTGTAAAGACTTCAAAATCTTTGCCTTTTATCAATTTGGTATTCGTCTAATGAGGAAGAAATACACAATCTGTCCAGTCTCTCCTCCTAATACAAAAAGGTCTTTTAGTAATTTCTAATACAATTATCTGGCATTCAAAAGATTCAATAAAACCAAAACCCAGCAATTTCCTCCCTACCATTTTCTACCATAATTATACAGTGAAGAAGTTTGAAATACTCAGGTATTAAAGAGGAGAAAGAGAAACATGTATTGAAACAAACAGACAGAATAAAAAGATTTGGGGTCTCATTCTCCACTGCTCTATACTTAATAAATACTTCACATTTTGAGTATTTTAAACTCCACATATTCAAAATCATGGACCAGATGACAAAAACAAATAAATAATTTAGCAGTCACAACATCCTCAAAATACATTTGCTCATAGCTTTTCACGTGCCTCCTGATTCTTCTTCACAGGAGCATCGAATTCAGGTTTACAGTTCAGCTAGTTATAAACACACATACAGTCAGGTCTCTCTGTTTGCCATTTGAAAGGGGTAGGTATAAGCAACCTCCTGCTCCTTCATCAACTCTTAAGTGACAAGCAGATGACCAGCTTTCTGTCATCTGGATGCTTTAGCCCTATTCACCCGCTCTCTTGCTCTTTGCGTTTTCTTCTCTTTTCCATCAACCTCATGCCCACCACATTACCCTGTACTCCTGCTTTCTCTCTCTCTAATTTCTTTGCATCCCTTACCACTTGACGTCTACCTACACAGTCCTCATCTCTCTGTTGACCCCAACCCACTCCCCAGTCTCTTTTGACCTCCGCTATTGATTTCTCCCGTGTGTTAACACAGCCCACTTTCTCCTGACCTTTGACTCTCTCCTGACCCTTTTCATTCACATTTTTCTGTCTGTGCGTGTCCTACACAAACAGCTAAAAGTGAAGGTTATAATTTTCATATTTTCATTTCAAGGTGGCCACCTTGTTTCACCGCAGCTGCAAATCGTGTCACTCTCGGTGACAGATGTTCCATTTCCTCTGATTTATAAAGAGAAAAGACATATTTACTGCTTTGCTGATAGTAGCACCAGTCCCATTGTTAATACTGGGGAAGTGGAAGCCACTAGAAAATAGAGGAGAAAAGTGAAAGAAGTCATCAGAAATTCACAAAGATCTTTAGGAAAACCGAAAATTGCTGTATTTGCTTGAAAATAACAAGACGTGGAAATGCCGTATCAAGGAGAAGAGGTATAGAGTGTTAACCTGGAATGCTCCGCTGTTGCCTACGGTCTACACCATTTCGTTGATGAAGAAATAACTATAACTGAACAATGTAGCAAAAATTAGTATCATGTACTCCATTGCCCATTTCTTGTCCCTTCTACAAAAACTCAGGCAAGCATGCCATGGGAGGGCAGAGCTTATAAGGAAGGGCATTGAAGAATTAAAGTTATTGTTTTTTTAAATGATAGCAAAAGGCAAAGGAAAATGGACTCTCCTAAATCTTTATGAAACAATCCTTCCACTGATCCATGTCTATTCAATACATAATTTATGATAATCTCTTTAAAAGATTTTTGTGGTCATTACTGCAAGTATTTAAAAGAACATAACCAAACTCAAATCACACTTTTTTTCTGAATATATTTATCATCTACTTTGCTATTCCAATGATTAGCAGATCTTTTTTTGGTATCTTGACTGCAGATTTGTGGAACGTAGATCAGTCAACCTTTCTGCCTTACTCAAGGCAGTTTTCCCCGATGCCTGCTTTGTATATTCCATCAAAAGTGAGGAGCAGGGGGAGGACAGAGACAGCCGAGCAAAAAGAATCATACCAGAAATTTCTTCTGAATTCATACTTGCAAATGGAATAGATTTGAAGGATGATTATATCCTTCCATTAGCAGCAGAAAAAATAACTGTTGGGATGAAAATCAGCATCCTACATTGTGCCGGGCCAAAAATGCTCCTGTATACAAAGCTCAAGATTAGATTTGTGAAAGCACTTAAAGGTTAAGGGATGCTCTTCCCACAGCAATGCCAAGGAACAAATGTGGTTTGTCTCTACGGCTGCCGCCTGTACTTACTCCTTCCCTCCACACAGGAGAACCCATTGAACCCAGATGAGGACAGGGACTGACGGTAGTCAAGCCCAGATCCCTGAAGGGCTCTCTGGAGGCACCACCCTGCACTTCCCTCAAAAATCAACTGAGAATCTAAAGCAAAGCTGAAACGTAATTTGATTAATCATTTCCATTAATGGAATGCCAGACACATTCTTTCTGAGGAGAATTTCCAAGCAATTGTAAGACTTAGCTAGTTTCATATGAGACTGTTAAAACACCCAGATCCATAGGGAAGAGTGGCTTTTAATTAAGAAAAAAGATTAGACCAGAGAATTTAAGTGTTCATCAGCATCTCAGTCCTCAAACTTCCAACTAGTTTCCCTCTTTATTACTGCAACTTTCGATTTTCCAGGCTCTCACCCTCCTGAAAGTCTCCATTCAAATCTCTCCCAAATTTTGCTAACACTGCTTTGGCTCTTGGCTTTCACATTAACCTCCAGTTTTTCAACAACACCAGGGTGTTAGAGTTGATACAATGATGTCAGTCCTAAAAGTTTAAAATATTGAAAAGTAATAAACATATTCCAAATGCAAGGTGGGATATTTGTGGCACCCTATGTGATTTCTCAGGGAAACCTGACCCTTCTGAAATCTTCCCCAGATCCAGGCTCCCTAGGAAGCCCATGCTCTGGGACATGCCCAACATCCAATACTTAATGTCTCTGCGCAATAGGTTCTGGGCACTTCCATTTTACAGGAAATGTTTAAACTGAAAAAAACCTGCTCAGGTCTGAACACCCCCCCCCCCCCCCCGTCTGATCTTCTCATGCTGGAGAGCTGGAGTGTTTATATATGTTTACTGGGTAACAGCTGGGGGCTGTAAGTAGTAACTTGAAGTTATAAGCCGCAGCTGCTTAAATGGTATCTCAGGTTCAGACTTTGCATGTCTTCATTAGGCAAAAAAGGGGTCACCAATCTTAGAATTTGAACACAGACAGGTTCTTCCGGCTTGTTATTGTTCCACTGTGCAGCATTTCTTGTGTCTGTCCAGTGTGCATGCTTTGTCTGGTACTGACAATGCTGTTTAGACCTATCCTTGGCTACTCGGGTCAGGAAGCTCCCCTTAGACTCCGATACACAGTTCTCCAGAGAGAATTAGGATTTAGGGCACTTTCTTTCTCAGGTTTTTTCTCCCCATATGCTTGCCCTTCCTCCCTTCTCCTCTCCAGCTACATCCAGCAGTAGCTATTCCCATTTCAGATGTATCAGATGCATTTGCCCTCATTTTTGCACTCGGTGTCTCTGCAGTTTGCAAGAGCAATGCTACTTCAGTACACAGCGTAATAAGTTCTTGTGGTGCCTGGATATTGCAAATGGCTTATTTTTTTGTATGCATTCCTGTTAAGAAAGGTAGTGGATGAACAGGATGAGCTGAGTAGTCATTTGGACTGTAACAACAGGCTGACAGTTATGTAAAATACTTTCACGTGGCAATCTCCTCTGATCCTCTGCTGGTTCAGAAGGGTATTATAGCCAGATTCAGAATACAGGCTCTCGTAAACTCATTTTCATAAACTGGGGCACTGCTAAACATATAGGGGACCAAGACCAAGGTTGCTCTGTTCCTTCATCCTCAGCATTTACCTTCTCTTTCTCCTTAATCTCCTCTCTTCAGCATCTACAGTTTAAGCCCATGGAATAAGCACAAGACTTCTTTATCAAAGTGCTTCTACAAGTACTGGTACAAATCACCTTGCAAAGGGTACTGCAGAGTGACAAGGCCTGTTGGTCAGATCATTAAGAGTTGCTTCAGTATATTATTCTAAAATGGGATTAGCTTCGTAACTCCACAGCCCAATTCAAACACGAACTGAGCCCAATTCACTTTTCTAAGCTCTCCACTTCAGTGTTCCAGCTAAATGCCACTGATTAGGCTTCCAATTTAACATTTTCTGAAAGGCTTTTGACTCAATTCTGGGATGATTCATGGTATTCAACAGAAAATTAACAAAAAAATCAACTAACTGTAACCGTCATGGGCAGTACACACAAACGTTCAATCAGGTTCTGGAAACCAGCCTTGCTGCTACTGTAAGATGCAGACACCTATTCTATTTCACAAAGATAATTCACCATCACAGGAACATAAATTTCATACTGGTCAATTGCTATATGTAAAATAAATGATTACTTTCATTCAAATATGAATTTTCAGCTACCTTCACCTAAATGAAAATCTTTTTTTATTTGGATTCCTGGATGAATTTAATTTGGACCAAAATTCATGTCTGCTTCTCCTTAATACACTTCTGTCAGAGAGCTATCTAGTCAAAGAGGGAGTGCAGTTTCTTATACTTTCTTTAACTGGAAGGCTAATCAATACAGCATGCTAAGATTCAATGAAAAAGCACTAATAACAGTCTGAAACATCCACGAAAAATACCAAAATATCCCATATAAAAAATGGTCTATGGTCTTTTATCCACTGTCTAATTTTGTAAATTTTACAGTGATTTTTACTTTTCAAAAGTACTTTATATTCATGACTGAAAATTTGTATCCCTTTTCAATCCTATTTATTTTACTTTTAAGGTTACTGTGCAAATTATTGTATTTTTATCAAAATTAAAGCCTGTTAAATAACAGCACTCTTAATTCAAAATCACTTCAAAATTCAGGACAATTTAACCAAAGGAAATATTTCAGGAAGGTTATCTGTATCCTCAATAGCTATCCTTTCAATAGTAAGCAGACTTGAAATGTATTACTCAGAAATACTTAATGCACTCTTCCCCGCCTTTGGAATTACCCAGGCAACAGATATTCAGCAGACTTATTCTGATGTCTCTATATGTCTGACATTTGAACAAGTTTTATTCTAGTGCGTTCACTTGAATGTTATCATTCATCTTCTTCCTACTCACCTCCAAAGTAAGAGCCATCTGTCAGCTTCAACTCCTTGTTGGATTTGGTGATGACACCAGCGACACCGTGCTGAATGAAATACATCTTTTTACCCACAGCCCCTTCTCGGATAATATAATCGCCAGGTTGGAACACCTCAAATCGCAGCTTGCTCAGCATAGCAGTCACAAAATTTGGGTCTGCATTAGCGAAAAGAGGCATTGTAGCAACCAGCTTGCGACAATTGAAGTTGACAATCTCCTAAATGGGAAGGAAACAAAATAATAATAGTCAGCAAATATATACGTATGATGGGCAATGAAAAAAGACTTTCTGCTGTTTTCACAAATAAGTTTTTTATGTACATATTGGATTCTTCTGTTTTTCTGTGCCTAATTTTCAGTCTTGTCATTAAATTTTCATCTCTGTTTCTAGTGAAGTGACTGAAACAATAGCGCAGTAATGATTTGTTTTAATAAGGTCAAATGTTGTCTTTTTCAGGTGATTTTCACAGGTTATTTAATATTCTCCTTGGTTTTCAAGGAAAAAAGTGACAGAAAGATAAAAATTTAATAGGAATTACACTGGCTGCTAACTTGTAAAAGAATATGGATAAGATTGTGCTGCAGTAGTTCTATTAAGTGATTAAAGTTATATAAGTAGAAAGTTTAGCCTCATGTTTTTAAATATCACACCAGTAACGTCCTTCTGATTGATAGTCACAACTGCAGTGGTAGTATAAATGTACATTATAGTTGGCTGCAGAGCCAACTGAAATCAACAGAAAAATTTCCATCCTGGTGTTTAATTCATATCACTAAGCACAGAGAAATACACTCTTGTCCTTCAAAGAAATGAACATACAGTAGACCAGAAAGCACTACTGTCTTCCTATGCCTGCTACAGGTCCTAGGAACAACCTTCCTAGGTGCTACAAATACAGGGTGTTTCCCACCAAGACTATTAATATTCACAGAGCTAAGTATGAGCGCATCTATGTGAGAGTAGCACCAAACAGTTACAAATGTTCTTCCTACCTTAAACCAAAAAATGAACAATTCCTGAAAGAATTTTAAATTTAATCTTGCAGACCTTACTGTATCCTAGGAAAATGAACATGGTCAGTTGTTATACAGCTGTAAAGAGGGCACTGAAGAACTAGGACTAATCAGTATTATATTGCAAGAGGAGTTTGGACAAGCAACAGCTACTGAGTTTAATTAGCAACCACAACATGACAGGAAGAGCATATATGATAATCTGCATATAAATTCAGAGACAAAATAAAATAAACATACAGCCAGAAGTCACCTAACTGCTCTGGAAACCTAAATATTGTTTCAGTGTCAGCAGAGTATGCTTAGCATTTCTTACACCAAACAAAGCCTTGGCGACAGATGCAAAGGAGGCATCCCAGCTACCAGCGCTCTCACCCACCCGAACTGAGACTCTTTAAGCCTCCTCACGTTGATCCTGGACGTTGCTCTTTCTATGCATCTACTATCCCATGCTTATATATCACAAACATCCCACGCAGCCTGCTCTCTGTGCAGCAAACTCAGATACACTTGTCCACAATTCAGATAAATTCCTTCCTTCTCCTTGTACTCCGGTTTGATATCAGGCTAGTAGACATGATGGAAAAATGTAGATAATTCCACAGATTTTTAAGCATAAGAACAAAAGCTTAATGGGTTCTTCAATTCAGTCCCCTTCCATCAGGGAAGGAGGTGGAGATCTCCCTTTGAAGGGAAGCCATTGGCTACTAAGGCATTTAAGAAGCATGGAGATGATATAAGAGTGAAGAGACAACCACCTTTCCCAGAGAAATTATGCCCTTTCAAAAAAAATCCAGTGGAACCTGGAAAAATAATGTGAAGCAAAATGTACCACCAGGCACCTGGGAAGCAGAAAGCAGTTATCTCTAGCAATGACTTATTTTCCATTAAAAAAAAAAAAACGGTAAAAATTACTTCCTTTTGCTACTCCTAGGAGAGACTTATGACATCTTCTGACAGTCCCTCAAGGAAGTGTTATTATATAATGACAACGTGGAAATAGAAGTGTCTTTAAGCAGAAGTGAACATTGACTTTTGACAAAGAGCAATAGAGCGATTCCCTTTGACCTTGGTCTCTCAATAGCATCACATCTCTCTACTGAGATACACACTATATATGCCTTTTTTCTTCCTTTTTTTTTTCCCTCTGGAATGAGCCAAGGACATACATAAATTATATAATTTTATATAATTATCATTTAAGGCAGATTTAATTCCAGAATTATTGGGTTAAAGATAGAGTGAATGAAGAGTAAGATGTTACATCTTTGAAGTCAATCACTAAACTCCAATTGAATTCAGTGGGAATATGACTTCATCAAGAACATTTTATATGAGAATTATTTATGAGCAATGGAAATAGAACAACACTCCCCTTTCATCACTTTTCACTGTCCTGCCTCTCTCTTTCACCCTCTCAGATTGCCATAGTTCCCCTTCTTATGAGTGTTTCATCATGCCTGAAACACCGCACAATGTATAGACTGCACAGCTAATTGTAAAGATGTTGGATTAAGACAAGATGAGAAGGATGTGAGACAAGAATATACTTCTTCAGGGCTACAAGAAAGTTGAAATGTAGAGAATACATGGCCGGAATGGAAGTCAGAAAAGATGGGAGGAAAAGAGCACTGAGATTTGTAAAAACTCAGAGGCTCCTAGTTATAGAAAGGAACAGTGGCTATGACTCCCACTGAGCACAGACAAAGACACGACTGCTCCTGGTGCTACTAGATAGTATGGTACTACTACTACATACATGACATCAGAATGTCAGCTTAAAAAAAAAGGGGGGGGGCGAGTCTTCTTATTTGTAAAAATAGGCAGAAAAATAGAGGCAAGATGTGGTGCTGTTTGCCTGAATCTGAAAATAATCTCAGACAATAGCTCTGCAAGGTTTGAACTACCTGATATGTGTCACTGGCATTTATAATCCGTGAATTCTGTTGACTCTTTAAGTCCAGAGGAGTAGTCTCAGGTTACCCCTTTATATAAATGCTGTATGATAGGACAAATATTAAAAAGAGATCCAACCTGACTTGCTTGTCTTTCTAAGGGATGAGGAAGGGATGTTCTCTTTCTAATCTAAATAAGTAACAAGGAACTTCTTTTCCCAGTTAAAGCTTCAGCCTCTGGTTCTCTGACAAGGAAAGGTTATTCTCTGCTCCCACTGCTCACAGTATGGTGGCATTGCACAGGAGTCCTATACTACATTCTCGGTTCTGTATGAGACTGCCTATCTGTGGTCTTGGCTGATGCTAGAAAGCTGCCAATAACTATTACTTTTCTTGCCTTGCTCAGGGACTTTTGAGTAGACTTGCTGCTTGTTTTCTATTTCTGGAAGTGAAGAACCTCCCTCTCGCACATCTAGGAGGCAGAGAAAGGAAGTCAGTAATGAAAGGAAGAATTGAGTTGAAATGGTATAGAAGCTGCTGAATAAACGCATAAAAGGCAGGGAGAGTGAAAAGTTCAACTACAGTCATGATCAGAAAGAAAGAAAAAACAAAACTAGGTGGAGTGTTATTGAGAGACAGAGAATGGAACGAAAACAAAAAGAAGAAATGCAAAGGACCTAAAACAATCGGCAATAAGAGACGGTAAGGTTGACTTCAAAGAAGTTCCTGAAAGAGTAAGAGCATGGGAGTACAGAAACTGGACAACAGATGTTTAGAATAAAAACTGAAAGCTGGAGTGGATGAAGAACACAAAAAGGGAAATTGGAGAAAAAGATAAGTTATAAATAACATTTTAATAACTTCATAGCAGAGCACAGAGGTGAGAATTCAGGCCTGCACAGACCCATCCAAACCCAGAAGGAAAGGAATTGCTCTCTTCTGCAGAAACACAGCAAAATACACTAGTCACAGGCATTTCACCTTTGGAATCACATTTCCTCTTAAGGATACAGCTTCCATCCATCTTACTCTCTTCCTATATAAGCTATATTGAGATACATGTATGTATACACACACCTTATCTGCTCAGTCTGAGTTGCCCAATGAAACTACCAGCATAGCTGTATAACCACCCTGCTGTGGTAATTTCAGCCATTATAGTCTAGTAATGCACTGATTTTATTGATTAGTTTTCTGTGAAAGTTTATGCTAAAGTACAAACTTTCCTTATTTAAGATGTTAGAAGGTGGAAAATTACTGAGGGAGAGGGAAATGTGTCATTTTTAAGTGCTTTGTTTTTCTATAGTGTTCTTTTATTTAAATATAAGACCATACAGAGCAAGTAAAAAACATTTCTGTGAGTCTTAATCACAAGAAGTACTGCAATTTCAAGTTCTCATATATTACTTTAAATACCATCTTAGGGAGAAAGAAACAGTAAAGATTATTATCCATGTTTTATGTAATTCAGAAAGCTCTAGAAGAAACAGCTTGGTGTTTTAAAACAAAGGTAACAGAAGAACAAACTATCAAGATAAAAGTTGACTTTTTTCTGTGCAAAAAAAAATCTTTCATCCATATTTTCTTTGAGTTAATTCTTTGGTGCCAGACTGCAACTAGCTTATGCTCCACAATATGATGTCTTTATTAGAACAAATAATAAAGCTTTCGTCTTCACCCCTACACCAAGAAAATACCAAGTGAAGTCTTAGGAAAGGATTAGGAATGCATTATATTGCGTGAGTGTTGATCTAGTTCAAATACTGATCTCTGTTACATAAAAACTAAATAGGAGGTGCTATGGTTTGCTTTATGTAAGAGATTAAGACAGGTAATTACACTCCTTCTACCTTTACTACTCATCTTGGGGTTCCTGACCATTTTCCCTAGGTGATATTAAATCATCAAAAATCATCATTTTGCATGGCTTCAGTACACCTACCATTTCTGGACAACTGCTCCACCGTGTCTCAAGACTGACATGTACAGGGGCAGTCACAAGGCTGTCTTAGCTGTAACCAGGACATGACCCTGGCTGACGCTGTGCCTCCTGGTACAAGAGTGCTAGAGAGCTGGAGGGAAGGCTGCTGCGGACGGGAGCCAGGCATGGGCCAGGGGAGTGCTCACACTGGTCTCCCCTGCAGCTGGGGCAAGGAAAGAGAGTAACAGGGATGTAGAAAGGGGAACTGGGCTGGGATGTGTTCTGGCAACCCACAGTCAAAAGAGCATCCCACAGAAGATGCATGTGGCTGACACCGACCAGAACAGCTTTATGCCCATACCTGTCCACATCGGTGCTTTGTTCAAT